GCCCTACAGGCACTGGATAGTGACAGAGTGATAGGCAGCTTCTAAGGTAAAGAAGTTATTGAATGGTATGTTCACCTTTTCCATGATATTATTGGCAAAATAATTTTTTGGTACTTTCTGACTATCCACAGCATCCTAGAAATGTCTGCAACTCGTTGCCAATAATTTTTTTTGCCAAGCTAATATGCAACAAAATGCACAAGCAATTGTGAAAATAGTGGTACACCAAGAATTTAATGAAAGCCTAATGATTAAAAAAAAATAAATAAAAAATCAAGACAGCTGTAAAAAAGCATGATTTTTAAGAAATCCTTATATAGCTTTTTTTTTTTTTTGGTTGTTGTTCCCTCCATGTACATAGTAATCTGTTTTTGCTTAAAAAAAATCTGAGAATTTGCACAAATTCTACATCGCTTCCAAAAATTTAATTTGGACCGAAGATGCACAGAATGCTTTTACTAATATCAAAAGTGCATTGTATAAGTTATCATTGTTAGTCTACCCTAATCAAGCATCACAGATGCATTCTGATTCTGCCATATGTGCCATGATCCGTCAACTACATAATTTAAAAACAACTGCTAAGCTTTTTTCTCTTAATCCCTATCATTAATGCAGAGAAAGTACAGTGCTTATGATTGAGAATTACTAGCAATTTATCTAGCCATAAAGCATTTTAAACTCATTCTGGAAGTATGATCATTTACTATCTTCATTGATCATAAACCTTTGCCTTCCAGTAGAATTTAGACAAAGCTTCTCCATGACAAGTCTAGCACTTGAACCACATTGCTGAATTCACTGCAAACATATTATACATTTCTGTAAAAGAGAACTTAGCAAACACACTGAGAATTAAAACTATCACTAAGCCAGCTCCAGTTGATTACAGTTATTGCAGATTGCCAGGAGGCTGAAGACCTCAAGATTCTTAAAAATCAAATTCCAGTTTTAAATAGTACCATGTCATATCCTGAATAACACTAAGAAAATTTAATATAATACCTCTGCATATTTTAACTGGCCATACATTCCTAAAGTATTTTGCAAAATAATATTATTCTCTACACATAACTTATCCCATCCTGGAATTCGTGCAATAATGAAGCTGGTGGCAAAAAGATTAATTTGGCTGGGCATAAATAAAGTCTTAAACTGTGTACTAGAGCCTGTTTGGCAAGCCAAAGTTCGGAAACATATCCATGCTCCAGCTGTTGAATTCAAAATTCCAACTTAACGTTTCAGGCACCTTAACATTGATATTCTTGGCCATTTACCACTTTGCAAAGGTTTTAGGTATCTGCTTATTAGCATTGATAGATTTACTCAATAGATCGAAACTGTCCTTTTGGAAGACCAAACTGCTGATTCCATCGCAAATGACATTGTCACAATTTGGATTTCCAGCTTTGCAATACCAGAGAAGATAACATCGGACGAGGATCGACAGTTTGAAAGCCAACTCTTTCACTCCTTGAGCAAGTGTCTGTGTTTGAAAACTAACACCAGTAAAGCTTTTCACCACCCATGGTCTAATGGTTTAATTGAACACCAAGTTTGAACTTTGAAAAGCAGCCTGAAATCCCACCTTCAAATGTCAAATTCTCAGATGATGGTCTGTCTTTAATTCTTCTTGCCATTTGATCCACCATTAAACAGATTTGCATTATTCTGTTGGATATGTGTACAGCACACCAACCTGTTTACGTGGGAAATTTTTCAGTAAATCTCCAACTGCCACGCATTCAGATTTTATGCAAAAATTGCAAAGCTACATCCAAAATCTAAAACCAAGTCCAACAACCAACCAGCCATGGGGGGGGGGAATACAGTTTTCTTAAGACAAGGACTTAGCAAATAGTTCACATGTATTCGTCTTTAACCTATCTTGGACCATATTTAGTTAACCCGCGAGCACACGCACTGGGTTGAATTGACTTGCTCGATTAAAGAAACCTTTCTGAAAATGCCCCTATTTTTCTAAAGTGGTTGTGGTTCATTATAGTTTCCTCCAAGCCATCCTCTTTATGTTTCCTTTTATTATCTAATCAATCTGCTAGGAACAAACTGCAGCACTATCACATTATCCATCCGGCTGTTCTGCAAAATCAATTTTTGGTAACTAATTTTGGTACTTTTCCGTTTCGCCGGCGCAAATCTCGCCAAGCAGACTTTATTAGTGACAACACACATTATACACATAAAAAATGTAGACAAATGAAATTCCAAGAAATTTTAATTTTTTTTAATGTTGCTTAAAATTTTGTAAAAAAGCCAATAAATAAAGGCCATAAATTTTAAAAAGGACAATTTATAAATTTTCTATGCTTTCATGGTAAAACATCCTGATTCGCCGGTTCATATCACGTGACCCCAAGTGATCTTATCTCACATAAACCACGCTACAAAAATCTAATTTTCTCAGTAATTATCTATATTAATTTCAAGTTAAATCATAATTTGGAATACAAGTTTAAATGCAAGAATTATTTCAATTCTTAATAGCTTACTCAGAAATTATATAAAAACACAGTGCTTTACTTCGCTAGTGCATTTTCATTAGAATTGATGAATTTAACCCTTGACTTTGCCTTTTCTATATTTTTGCCATCAGGTGAGCAGTGTGATTGCATCCTAATTAACTTAATTACTCCCTGTGAATGGCCTTGGGGCATAAAATTGAACTATCTAGTAAAAATTCTTTGTAACCGTATGCCAGTATTGAAAGAAACAATCAATCTAATAAGAAATGGCTGCGACTTGCTTTGAAAATAAGACGTAAAAGGTTACCAGCGAAGATATTCCGTTCAGCATTGGTTGTACCATTATTGGCAACTTTATCGCCTGCGCCAGCAAAACAGAAAAGTACCCTAATTTTCCCAGCCTAGCATGTGAAACTAGTAGCCATTTTAAAAAACTGTGGCACACTGAAAATTACGTAAAAGAGCAATGACTTAACGAAATTAAAAATGCAAGAAACATACATAATTAACTAGTAGATATTACATAAAGGAAATGTACACAACAAAACACTCAGAATTTTATAAAACTGTTACATTTTAAATTTTAAATATAATTAAAAATTCAACAAGCATCCATCATAATAATAATAAAAAAATACTTTCTTGTACATCTGTATGTGTCCACAGCTGCTTTTTTTTTTTTTTTTTTTTTAAAGTTAAAACAATCAGATTCAAAAATTCAACAAGCATCCATCATAATAATAATAAAAAAATACTTTCTTGTACATCTGTATGTGTCCACAGCTGCTTTTTTTTTTTTTTTTTTAAAGTTAAAACAATCAGAGAATTGCAGACTTCTTAGGAGTGCACAGCTAACTGGTACTGCCCTCCATGTACACATCGACTTGTTTTAACTTAAAAAACAAAAATCGGAGACTTGCGCTTAATTGGAGAAAACTATCATCACAGTCATGGTTCATAGACTATTTTTGAGCTGAAAGATTTTTTATAATAATGTAACATAAGAGGTAAATAAAAGCTAACCAAATGCATTACTGTATATGCATTTTATTATTTTAACAGTAATAATGATTAACAACCCTGATAATATGTTTTTACAACCCGTGGGTACTTTTTAGCTATCTGTTTTAAAATCTCTTCAAAACAGTCTTGCTTTCCTTCCAGACATTTTCTTCGAATGAATTTCACAAGATAACTTGGACAATTCAATCATTTATAAAATAGAACTTCACAGAATGTGCATTTCTATAACTACTACTAAGCAAAATCCCATATTTCTGAAAAAAATGCATCAGTTTTTGTTTTATTAGCAAGTAAACTCCACATTTGCATTATGATTTATTAGAAGGAGGGAAAAAAAGCCATAAACTAATCACAAGCAGAAACCACAACATAACCCATGGAATTCCAGAATTTCGTGCAGTTATTGGGTTGCCAGATAAAATACATTAAAAAAAATTCTGGGTTGTCTACTTCAGCAACATAGCGCTTTGCCTGGGGATTTTTGTTATGGTTGGGCAGATAATGTGATAGTATCCAAACTGATTTTAGAAATTCACTTTTTTAAAATAAAATTTGTAAACATAATATTTCATACTTATTTGAAATGCTAGTTTGAGAAAAATTAAAAGAATAACTGGCATTTATAGCATAAATGTCTAATTAAATAATGACAATTAAAACGACGTGCTTAAAGTTATTTTAGTTTATATAGTTGTACCAAAGCTTGCACAATTAGTCTGCCTCGTTTTTCAGCTAGAACATAAATGGTTGTTGTTTTACGTATACAAGAAAAGACTGAGGTAGTGTGAAACTGTATGTCATTCGATTTTCAGATGATGAAGAGGGGAAGCTATCTGCTTGAGTTCTTATAGAATTATATATAAATTATCATAGTTTAAAGTGTTTGATTATAATCTTCATTATACATTTATTTAGAAGATAATTTATTTTATTGAGATCTGTAATTACTTGTGTGGACACTTAAAATTTTTTTTTACAGTTCAACTGTAAAAAAATATTTCTATTAACTTATGCCAGCCTTTGCTCTGTAGGCCCACCAGCGGCCGAGCGGTGAAGTCGCCGAACACTGGTAGTTCGGTCCGAGGTTCGAATCTCGCGAATGGGCTGGATGCATGGGCGTTTTCGTGGTTTTGCCCATGTGTAATGTGTATATGAGCCAGTTTCCCTTAGAAAGTCCTCCACGAAGGCATCCCTCTCCTTAGCCAGATAGCCCTAGTGTGCTTTGCCATAATCTCAATAAACCAAACCAATCTTTGCTCTGTAACAGCCTAATTTATTACTGAATTTTTTTTTTATCATGATCAAAGCTGGCTTTATTTGCTTTCTTTTGAAAATTTGTTTTCTCAGCATATAGTGTACATCACATTATGTTGAGTATTTGAAATATGCTTTGCACACATGAAATGATATCAGAATTTTAATCCTTATTTGCTGCTGTCTGCATCATCTTATTTTTTTATATTATATAGTAAATATTTTTTTTTTCTTTCATAGCATTACAGCCTTAATTCTGAAACATTACAGTCATTAGCTGTAAAACTTGGTTGTAAATCTCGGAGTTTGTATAATGACCTGAAGCTGAATGGCCCTCAAGATCATGTAGAAAGCATTAGACAGGAACGAGTTTCCATAAATGTGTTATCTGCTGTTTCTGAAGTTCTGACATCTGTCAAAGCTTTAGTATCCTGGTTGGACAGGTAAGTTAACAAAAAAAAAAACTTTCTCTTTTTTTTTTAAAGCAACTAATAAGCTTCTGATCGAAAGCAGATATGATGTATTCAAATTATGTGATATTTTTGTATTTGTAAAATTGTATTTTTTTGGTAATTTGCTGTTATGTGCCTACCACGCTGTTTGGCAGTTGTTTTTTTTTTTTTAATTGTGAACAGTTTATAGATGCAAATGCACACCTCCTGGCAAATGATGGAAATTAGATCATCACTTGCCTTGTGCCAAAATGTTTGTCAGGTATGTAACAGGAAAAGTACCTTACTTTTATTAGATATCTGTACTACTTATCAAAGTTAATGGTGCTTATGTATTAATGCAATCACCGTAGTACAAGTAAAAAAATTTTCAGAATGTGTAAAACTCCGGCAGCCATGCTCATGAGAATCCTACAGTCAAGCAGTGCCACCATTTTCATATGCGTTCTTCTTTGTTGTATTCCAAGTTCCAACTTGTGATATTTTTTGCCTTAAACTTAGTTTTAAAATATGAGTATGTGAAATTTGCGAGCAGTGAAAGAAGTTGCAATAAAATTTCTGCAGGAATAAAGAATTTTGCTGAAAATTATCTAACGTGAACGACAACAAGTAAGTGCGTTCCCTAGCTAGTCGCTGTTGCTGAGGTTTGCACAAAGCTGAGTCTCTGCAATTCTCTGATGTTCTGTTTAGAGAAAACAGATCACTGCATACTTCAGAAGAAGAATAGCAAAAAACATAATTACAGAATGATTAGAGAAGAGTGTAAGCATTTTATTTTTTAATATATCTTGTATTGTTTGTTATTTAATAACTCAAATTTGTATTTTAAATTGCTAAGGTATGTTTTCTTTTCATATGTTAATAAATGTTTACCGACTGATGATAAATATCAATAATTTCGTAATCTTTCTTAAAAAAAGGCACAAAAAACACCATCTTGCATCTGATAAAGTAACTTTTTGCTGTGTAAAAGATCACCATGTTGCGCCAAGGTCGTTGCACTACTATTGTAAGTACCAAACTCACTTTACAAGTAACCAAGAATTTGGTTTCAAAATCCTAAACTTTCTAAAAGGTCTATGAGTATATTGTTTTTCTGGATTATAACTGCAAAACAACTCTCCTTCTTTGTATCTTGACTCTTTTTCTTCCAAGAAACTATCTAATTATCTAAGTTAAATATCTGGACATATTTCATGATCCATGCCTGTATGATCAAATGTGTCATGGCAGTGAAAGTATTTATACAACTTTGATCACTTCAAAGATTGAAAAAATTGCTTTCAACTGGTAACTGCTGGTATTCAGTGATGTAATTATCTACACTGCTGGCCATTAAAATTGAAACACCATGAAGAAAAGCAAATACAAAAAAGATATTTATTCCACATAAACAGCATGGCATGAAGACAAAATGATTAAATTTGTAAGCGTTTTGGAGGTTTATAGGGGTACGAAATTAGTAGAAACTGCTGCCATCCCTCGTAGCTAAAGCAGCCCTTACCCCATTAGGCATGGCATCAAACTTGGCTTGGATGGCAGAACTATGCAACTCATTCCATGCTGCTTCAAGTCTGTGCTACACTTCATCAACTGCATTATCTGGAGAGGGGTAGTGGGCTAGTCTCTCAGCAACCCATGATCAGATATTTTCAATGTGTGACATATCTAGAGACCGTGCTTGCCATGGCAGCAGTCAAATACCCTGTGTATCGAGGAAAGTGAGAACATGACGTGCAATATGTGGTCTTGCATTATCTTGTTGGAACATGATGTTTGAGGGCCTCGAAGATTAGGCACAACCACTGGACTTAAGATGTCAGAAATGTACCCATCTGCATTTAAATTACAGTCTTTCTGAACTAGAGATGTATGTGTTATGTACCCAGTGGCAGCCCAAATCATCACACCATGTGCTAGGCCCATATAGCAGTATTGAATACAGGCAGGTGCAGTGCGGTCTCCTTGGACACTCTAAACACATATACGACCATCAGAATACTGCATGTAGAACCATGACTCATTTGAAAAGGTGACATCGTGCCATTCCTGTACCCAGCTTTGTCATTTGGTGCACCAGAGTTGCCGTCTCTCTCTATGCTGCATTGTCGAGGGAAGCCAAAGTAATGGTCACCCTGCCGATAGTCCACGCTCATGAGCGGATACTGGGCGTGTTGCAAACATGCCCATTTCCTGATTAATGGTCTGTGGTATGGTCGTTCGGTTTTGCAGGGCTAACCTTGCAATATGTCTGTCCTCTTTATCGTTAGTCATGGTAGGGGGTTGAGGTGCTGCATGCCATTCAGTATTACCCTCAGCAATCCATTGATTCCATATTCGCATGACAGTGGTTGGATGTCGGCACTATCCTGGAATGATAATCCACACTCTCTATAGGCAATGATCCTTTCTCTATCAAATGCCGACACTTGCTGGTAAGCATTTTTTCTTCTTATTTGAGGCATAACACAATAGTTTGAGCAAACCACTACCTTACAAAGCGGTTTCTGAATGAGAAATCAACTACACATTTTTTCATTCATAGGTTAGAGTAGATTGAAGGGTGCCCCTTGTATTATCATGAATTTGTTTCATTTGTCGCCAAGTTGTTGTTTCATTCAACCGGAATAGTTGAATGTTATGGAAACCTTATTATGATGTAATCGATTTCGTGATTGCCGTAAAGTTTGAATGACGGGAAATAGATTTGAAGGGCTCGTGGTGTGTGTTGGTTAGGAAGTATACTGCGCAAAAAAAAGGGGGGGACATTTCTATATCTCCCGTTTTAATGGGCCGATTGATGAACTTCAGCTTGCAATTTTCATGTCTCGAAGTGCGACTTAGGATATGTATTAGATTTGTATATATAGCATCGTTCTAATATAGGTATTTTGTCACAAAATCAGTGTTTTTCTGAAATAACATACCAATTTTTTTCCATATTTCGATTCTATGACGCAAATTATGCCACTACCAAGTTTTATAAAAATTGCATGAGTAGTTTTTAAAAAATTAGCTCTCAAAATTTTAGCTCCTCAATGTTAATTGAGTTTGGTTTATATTTAATAAACTTTCTTTTTTCTTATTAAACTTATTTGATTCTTCCTTTCACATTTCAAAATTCAGGTTCATTTCAAATAAAATACACCCACTTTTTTATGATTTATTTTTAAAATTTGTATTTTAAAGTAATTTTCATATATTTTTCAAAAAAGGTTTTGAATTATAATCAATAAAAATTTTACCATCATCTTAAAGGAGACGTATTTCTAAGCATATCTGCAAATAATTACAGTTTTTTTATTCAAAATTTCCGAAGATATACGTGAATTCAAAATATTGGCCCATTTTGAAATTTGGGATATTTGTTGAAAGAGATAAAACATCAAATGTGGAATTAATTATTTGGAAGTAGAAACGATGTGACTTTTTTTCCGCTCATGCGCAATGTAAAAAGGTAGGAATGAGGTGCCTTTTTTTTCGCTCTGGCATAATGGAAGGGAAAGAAAAATTTGTTGCCATGTATTAAGAAGTTTGCCAAGTGAATTATACTTGGCCAAACTGAAAAAATTTCGCCAAGATACATTTTTGAATTCCTCCGTAAAGTTTGCACCAAATTTTACAAAATTTAATATCTAGGCATAATTTCCGTTGTAGAATCAAAATACGGAAAAAAATTGGCATGTTATTTCAGAAAAAGTCCGATTTTGTGTCAAAGTACTTATGTTAGAACAATGCTACATATAAATCTAATATATATCCTAAGTCTCGCTTTCGAGACATGAAAAACTTGTCAATCGCCCCTGTGGAATGGGAGACATAGAACTGTCCCATTTTATTTTTGCCCAGTGTACATTGCTTGTATTGTGGTTTAGACAGTAGAATGGCTGAATGTTGTAAGATTAATTTGAATTTCTGTATGATTTGGAACAAAAAGGGCAAAAGTGCATTAACTGACTGGTGTGTAAATGAAGGTTTACTTAGTAGCCATTATAAGTGTCCTGTGTGTAGTAAGGAAATGCGTATGGTTGAACATCAGAGGATATTTTTTACTCTTATTTTTGTGAATTTATGTGGCGATGCCGATATGCGGATTCTAGTTCAGATAATTATAGGAAGTTATTGGATGCTGTTAAGGAATTTTGTGTGCCACAGACTGAAGAACTCGGAACTTTCTAAATAAGGTAAGTGGATATTTGCTTTGTGTAGTGCTTAGGTGCATAAGATGAATTTCCTTTTTTATGTTATTTTATTGTTTGATATAAAATGTAGTTTATTGAGATTATGTATTTTTTTGTTTGGTTCTGCTGTAGAATTGGATGCTTCTTTGACTTCTTAAGTGAAAATAGATTGATGTGCACATGGGCAAAGTCAAGGGAGTGCACAATGCCAAGTTTGTGCAATTCTCTGATTTTTTTTAACGTGAAAATAGGTCGATGTGTAATGGATAAAGTCAAGGGAGTGCGCATTGCCAAGTTTGCAATTTTCTGATTTTTCAAAAGTAAAAATAGGTCGATGTGCACATGGATACCGAATTTGTGCAATTCTTTGACTTGTTATTTTGTCTTTGTGTAGCAGTGATTTGTGGCACAAGAATCGCTTCTACACAAAGCCAAAATAAAAATTCAAAGAACTGCACAAACTCAGTATCCATGTATCGCCAATTTTCACCTAGGGGCAGACATAAATATTTTTTTACCTTTTTTTGCTGGGCTTCAGATGTCGTTTCTGTCTTTTGTGTCATCTAAATGCGCTGAAATACTAATCATTCACATACCCCAACCTGTTCATCCTTTCATGTGATTTTGACGTTCATCAGATTATTCCTTCCTGGTGTTACAATTTTAATGGCTAGCAGTGTATGTTAATTTTCTGCAATTGAATCCAAAAGTGAACTTCTGCATATAGGTTAATGCAGGAAATATTCAAATGCTGGGCTATAGACACATGTTGGAATTCAGGTGTGTAGTGTTGTTTAAAGTTAATATGGT